AAGCCAGTCTGTGTTGATAAGGCTTCCAAATTAAAATAAATTTGTCTGACAAAGCAGCAGCTCTCATTTACAGTCGTCTCGTTCGGCTCGGTATATTTCTCCTCTCAGTACGGTTGTTTACAGCACACGCAATTCCMGGTTAGCTTCTTAGCTTAGCCTCCGTCACAGTGACAACACATACATGCTCCAGCAGAGGCCAGGCCTCCTGCATGAAACGCTTCTCTATGCATCAAGTCCAGACCCTAGTACGAAGCAAAGTGAAGGACAGGGTCTGGTTTAAACCAGGCTAGTTTCATGTAGGAGAAATACATATATTTTTCAGTCAGTATTTAATACAGCTGGCAAAATAATTGTTAAAATATGTATCATGTGCTTCTGTTTTTTAATTCAGGAGATTATAAAAAAAATCCTTCATTTTATGGGAAGACCCTCTTCATTCAAGAGAAAACTCTGTTTTTTTAAATGGCTGCTTATTAATTATTGTTAATCAATCTATAAGATAAATCAACTTCAGATTATTTCATTATCAATAACTTGCATCCTTAAGGAGTTAACTTAATTTATATCTACTCATGTTCATGTAATTAAGCGTTTTAATGATTTGGCCGATTAATCGATTAATCGAAAAAATAATCAACAGATTAATCGATAATTAAAATAATCGTTAGTTGCAGCCCTAGATGAAAGAAACCAGCAGCTGGGTGGTTCCTGAAGGTGTCGGTCAGCACTACGCCGGCCCACCTTCTCAGGAGCTGGCATGTAACGTTTCTGTCACTTCCTTCTTTGACCCCCCCTCTGCACCGCTGTGTGTCTTCTGAACGAACCGAGGTGGTCAGAACCTGCGTCAGTAACACTACAGTGAGTCTTCTAAAAGAGCCTTCCTTGTTTTAGTGGAGAAGCCGGCCTGTTTACCTCACATGTACGCATTCAGAAAGGAACCACGCAGAAGGCGGATAGAATTATGGAGCAGGAGCCGCATGGACATCTGCCTCGAATCAGTCTGAAAACAAACTGAATTAACTTTAGTGATCTTTTTTGTGGCTCTATACTGTTTTCTAACCAACAACGTGTGTCTCGTTATCTTCAGTATTCTCTCGGTAATAAATCCGTTTGTGGATATTTTAATCCTAAATTTCTTTACAACATTCAGGTATGTTTTTAGAAGTAATAGCTTGTCAAATTAAGCTAGCTGTCACGTTCCCTCGTCCTGACCACACCTCCTCTCTCATCCCCACACTTGGCCGTGCCCCTCAGTGTCTCTTGGCACCGCCCACTTTTTGCCCGGGGACGGGGTTATGCTTTCATTGTGTGTGTGTGTGTGTGTGTGTGTGTGTGTGTGTGTGTGTGTTATGCTTTAAGTGGAAATTCTTTTACAGTTTTTGCAAATTTCATCTTTGTTACATGATGTACAACTACTAAAAACAAAAGCGCACATCTTAATCGAGACACATGCTTTGACGTACAGCATTTAATTTTTGTATAGGATTTCCAAAGCAGGAGGGGTAGCAAATCATAAAATGTGATTAAAACAAAACAAAAACAACGACCAAATAGTTATATAAACGATTAAATGCTGATGCATGGGTACAGCTACCACTTCCTGTTCACATCCAAACTACTGTTAGACAATCCTAATAAATAGTGTACGCAGTCTGTGGCTAGTGTACCAAGCTTTATCCAGCTATCTTTAATAAAATATCAGCTCACATTTGTGAACTAATGAAAAAGAAAATAACTTGGCATGTTAGGTACAAGTTTCCTCTGTAAAACACTGAAGTCAAACTATCATCTCTGTACATCCAGGGCATATTCATATTAACCTGTTTACTTTTTTAACTTCTTTTTACAAACTTAATCTTCCTTCCTGCCTCTCTTCACTGCAGCTGATCTGACCGCTCATTCAAAGGCTGTRTTCTGGTCTGCATCCCTTCTCCGTGCAGACACACAGGCCAAATAGAGGTCCAGTGTGTTTTCACAGGAATAACATTCTCCTTTTTTACAGGTAGAGGCTGAGAAGACCCCGTCCTCGACCCCCACCAACAAGGAATAAGTATAGGCTTCTTGCTCTGACATCAGACTGAGCAGATTTAAGCAATGAAGATATTACTCATTAGATTCTTTCCCTCCCCTCATTTAAAACAAAAACATATTTTTCAGTCTCAGCTTTATTTCTCACCTATAAGAAAGATGCAGAAGAGTGCATCATTTCCACTTGTTGGGAGAAACAATTCAAACCTTTAGAAATAATCTCCTCAACATCATCGGCCAGTTTCTACCAGCTGTTCCATAATTGTGTGAACACTTACAGTGATGCTGGTTCTCTTTATTTTTTCCCATATTTCTTTTGGCTCCCATACATTTTTAGCCTCTTTCTGTTCTGCATTTTTTATGCTATTTTAAAATATTATACATCAAATCATTCAGCTCATTAAGGACATTCCAGCTATGGTATTTGTACAATATATTGTTTTTTAAAATATTTTGAGGGGTTTTGGCCTAACTGAAAATGAACAGAATCCAGTTCAAGTATTTTTCAGTCTATTTCAGTATTTTTTATGACAATCATGCTTCTAGCTAATGATAATCCTGCCTGCCAAAAAAAAAAAAAAAGCTTTTTAACATTTGACTATATTGTAAAGCACTTTGGTCATTTTCTGTTGTTTTAAATAGGCTATAAGGTAAACCTGACAGACCAGTCTGTCAAACTGGGATGGTAAATTACAATCCACACAAATAAATTTARGGCTCAAAATTAGGAATAAGAATAGATGAAGATTGATGAAATTTCAGCTTCTTTATGGGATTTGCTGAGATAAAAACATAACCCCCTTTAAAAAAAAACACTTTCAAATCCTGTACTTTGTGTTCAATCAAAAAGGTCAGTTACCTCAAAACACATTTTCCCACCTACTGCTTTGTGTCCAGCCATGTAATTATCTTTAATTTAGTAGGGTTTTTTTTTTTTTGCTGAAAATACTTTTGCATCGAAAACAGCTGGTTGTATGTTTAAATGATTTGTTTATCAAAAATAACAACTAAAATAAAAATCAAAGAGTAAGTGAGAAAATGTGTGATTAAATGAGATACTGTGACCTTGAGCTGTTCTTTGAAAAAATAAATAAATTTATCTTTTTAGCCATTTCCTGAATTTTCTTAGCAAAACAAAACTATTGGCTCAGCTGTCGGCTTTATTTAGGTTTTTTTTCCAGATCACACCAATTGGGTTTATCTTATTTTGGGCAATTTAACAACAAGAACCTCTAAGAGTACGGACTTGGAAATAGGTCAACAAATTGCAAAATACCAAAGCACAAATTTTGCCAAATAATCACGACGTGAGTGCACAATTTTCTACCGACAGCTCTAAACGGCCAAAGATTTTAGAAAAGTGAATTTAATTATTTTTCCAAAGAACCAAAACATTATTTAACTATCATTTAGTGAAAGTGAAGCATTAGGTTACAATGTTAGTAAGGAAAAGCCAGGGAACATATATTTAAAAAAGAACCAGAACAAGTTAAATATTTTAGGTTTTCAACGTGTTGTTTTGCCAAAATTAAAAGAACATGCAAGTATGTTTGAATGAATGGAACTTATTTGAAAGATAAATGAAACATGTCTTGAAGCCTAAAAGAAGTTGGAGGCTTTTCTTACATTAATGAGTTCCTCTAAGTTTTGCATGTGATGGTGATAAAACTCAAAACAACTCGAGCGGAATCAATGATCACAGAAGGCCTAAAGATGGTTAGTTTTCATGCRACACAGAGGTAAAGTGGTTTACCAAATGAAGAGGAGGATTGGGTTAGAAACAAAAGTTAGGCTGGGGAAAACAGGTGGATCTAGGAATGCCACAAAGGAAAACAAGGCATCACAGATGGGAGGACGACAAGGACAAGGAGTGCTTCCACCTTAAGGTTCTCCAGGTCTCTCTCGTATTTCAGCCGCAGAGTGTTTATGTCACCCTGCTCTTCACGTCGCCTCATCTCTTCAGTCATGACTGASACTTGGCTCATCAGCTCCTGGATGCGCTCCCTCAGGGTCGGCGTTTGGGCTGAGGGATGATCCGACGCTGGAGGCTCGTTTGTTCCGTTCCTCTCCGAGTTAGCCGGACTCATCATTCTCCTCAACTCATCCATCTCACAATCAAATCTCTCCATGAGGCTTCTTTTTTCACTCTCGTGCTTTGTTTTTAGGTTCTCCATGCAGTTTGTCAGTGAGTCAATCTCTTTGATGTTTTCTTCTGAGAGAAGGTGAAGTGTCTCATTGGCTTTTGTGATTTCCAGCCTCAACTTTTCGACTTCTTGCTTGTAGCAGTCTTGAACGTCGTTTAACTCCTTTCTGTGCCTGACCATCATGTCGTGAAGTTCAGTGGTTTGATCCACTGAGTCTACTGGCTCTGCTTGAATCAAAGCTGAGGACCCTGCAGCAGTTTTCAGAGAAGCCTCAGATAGTTGATTCTGTACATCTCTCTGTTTTGACTGGAGCTCATCTGCAACTCCTTTCAAGCTGGAGCAATTTGGACAATTTAAGCTCCCTAACTGTTTTTGTGACGGATTCTGCTTCTGCGCTTTTTCATGCTGGACTTCCAGCCTGATAATTTCATATAACATGCACGTTTCCTTGATAGAATCAAGAAAATATTCTAATGACTCTTTATGCTCTCGCCCAGGACCAAAGCTTGCTTCAGCCAAAGACAGGAGTTGATCATTTTTGCTCATTTTCAGACTGTTGGCAATCTGCTTCAGATCATGAGACTTTGCCTTTAATGTTTCTGTTAACCGCTGAAGAATCAAAGCGTGTGTGTCATCATCGAGCCAGCTGTACATCGTTGTAAAATCGACCACTGCCTCACTCTTAGCTTCTCCCTGCGAACAGACCATCTTATTCAAGAGCAACAGGCTCTTCTGTGACGTTATAAGCTCCACCAAACTCAGTTCACTGATCTGTCGGCTTTCATCAGATTTTAATTCGGTAATGCTCAACAGCTGGCTCCAGAATTCCCACTCCAACACTGATCTCATCTCTTTTCCTCTCACGCAAACTGGCTCTTCTTTTGAGGAGACAAAAAAAGTGCTTTTCAAATTGCCAAGCATTCTCTCTACACTGACGTCTACCTTTAATAATATTTCTATAACTTTATCCAACGTCTCCGACCTCATCTCAAATTCATCTACCACTTGCTTAAAATCTGCTTTACCATCTACCTGCTTCTCTTCTACCTCTTTACTCTCAMTATCATTCTGTTTGTCTTGAACTTTATTCTTTTCTAGTATCTCTTGTAGCCTTCTGACTTCATTTTCTGCCTCTTCCAGCTTCTCTCTGCCAACTTTCTCAATTTCCTGATGTAKGATGAGTAGTTTGTTGTTTCTAGCCTCTAGTTCCACACAGCGCTGCTCTGCTGACTCAAGTCTGGCATCCRTTTCCGAAATCTTTGCTTTTGAGGTTTCAAGGAGATCTCTGAGGTGTTCCTTTTCCAGATGTAATTCCTCGTCCTCGTATTCTCCCTGGAAGCCCAGACCTCTTAGCGTCGCCTCTTTCAGTTGCAGCTTCTTCTCWGTGTCTTTCAGGGTGCTGCCAAGTTCCTCCAAGGTAACCAAGGCTTCATGGAGCCTTGAAGACTTTTCATTTAGTTCTCTTTCATAATACTCCCGGTCTATGGCATTAGCTTGATTTTCAGCCAGTTCAGCCTTTAGTCTTTTCAGCTCCTCCACCACAAGATGGTGCTGTTTCCCACCGTGCTGGCTGATGAGTTCAGCTTTCAGACGGTCGATTTCTCTGTCGGCCTCGGTCAGCTGATTCACTATCTCCTGACATCGTTGTTTCAATGCGCTGTTTTCACCTGTTAAAAGCTTGACCTTTTGAGAGAGAAATCCAACAGTCACGTCATTCGACTCTGAATGCTTTTCAATTGTGSACAGGGGACCGTAGGGGCTGCTCAGGTTTTCAGAGCTTTGTTTCTGAACTTTGCCCATCAAATCTTCCATAGTCAGAAGACGGGCTTCATATTCTCGTATGCTTTCTCCTGCCCTGGCTAGACTCTTTTTAAGGGCTTCGTTTTCTATCTCCTGCATGCACTTCCAGGTTTCCAGAAGCTTCTGAAGTTCATGTTTCCCTGTGGGATTCTGATTACAACTATGGAGTTTCAGCACGTTGCCAAGTTCAATCAGAGTCAGAGGTTTGTCACTTATCAGATCTTCTAGCTCTTGGATTGCATCTGAGCTGTCCTGAAGCAAGAAGGTAACACTTTTTTGGACTAGTTCAGGAGCAGGGCCTTCTAGCGTGGATGTGTTTTGGGGTTCAGAAATGTTAGGCTCCTTGATGGGAAGGTGAGAAAGCGAGAGGCCAAGCTGTGCCTGCATATTGCGTTTTTTCAGCTCTTGAAGCTTCAGAAGCTCTTTGGTCTCCTGGTATTTCTTTGTTAAACTCTGTGCTTGAGAACTAACCGGTTCGGACCTCTTCATCTGGGGCGTCACATCAGCCTCCAGACCCAAAGGATGCTCCAGCTTGGAAAAGGGGACCAGACAGTTGGTTAACATACAGCAGGGGAGACACAAAGCCTGCTAAAAAATTTAAGCTTTATCTACCAATCATGTTACAAACGTTTCAAATTAAAATGCTACAATTTCAACATAAATAATTCAAATAAAACATAAGAAAAAAAATCATAATTCCATRTAACTGGGTAAAGAAAAAAAGAAATGAAATGTCCAGGGTTAGTTATTCACAAACAAGCATGCAGATTAAATTGTTATTTGTTACTTCATGTGTTAAGTAATGCAATATTAGTTTCAGATAATTCAAAGATGAAAACAAGTGCTAATGACAACCATTTCTTACATTTTTGATCTAAGGTACTATCTATAACCAATAAAATATTTCTACACAGGCCAATTGCCCAGTATCAATGTCATTATTTAAATATTTTTTGTAGTTTTCTCCAAAATGCTTTCAAGTGAGAGAAAAGGTATTTTAAGAGACAGAAAGGCAACAAAAAACCCAGAAAGTAAAATACAAACTGTAGCAATACCCAACCACCAAGATCTTTAATTTATCTGTAACATTAGTTTAATGTCCTTTCTCTGCCATCTGTGAATTGACTGAAACACAGAAATCCATCATACATTTATGTCAATGGATATATTAAGTGTATACGGCAACTGTTAAAAGAGCAAGTGGATAAAAAAGCTAACAAAAAATCAGTTTGATATCCATGCACATAAGAACACAAGTCAAGAGGTTATTTATTTTTTCTTTACAAGTCCAACATTTTAATAGGCGAAGCAGTTACTTCAGTGACTATAAATGGTGATATTACTGATATGACTTGATGAGAATGTAAAAAATTAATTTAAAGAGCTATCCTATTAATTAGATGGTAAAATGTAAAAACAAACACATTAAACTGACATGATAAAAACTGAAGATGAAAAACTGAGAAAATATAATAATATTTAACCTTAATGCCTATTACAGCTTATCTTCTAAACTTCTCACAGGATTTTCTAATCAACTTTTTAGGTTTGTTTTTTCTTTGTGTACATTTTACTTGTATTTTCTGACTATCAATAGATTTACAGAAAAGTATAAACAAATATGCACAAATTATAATGCAATATAAAAAATGTTTTTAGCTTGAAGTTGTTTGTTTTCTTCCTTGCAGTCTTTCCTATTACAAGGTGTAGGATGGTTCAGCTGAACCAAAACATTCTCCCCATAAGCTGATGATCTAAAAGAGCCGACACTAAATGACCACTGATCAGCTGAAGAGACTCTTCAGGCTGTACTGTGAGGAGCATCTCAGAAAACCTGCAAATGCTGACATGTTTTACCACATTTATATAGTAAAACAAATAGTCCTGTTTGCACATTTTAGAGCTCGGATTGGAGTAAAATTCTCATCTGAGATCATGAATTGGAGATCTTAAAATTTAAAAATCCAAAGAAGTATTTATGAATCAACCAACCTCTTTTATACTTGGCTCTAAGCTCACAGGAACATTTCATGCCTCTGAACTTCACACAGCGCTTTGAGTAATACACAAMTGATGACAAATTTAGGGGACACTATTCAGTGAAGAGTCTTCTCTAGAAGAGCTGAGCCGATCCATGCAATGAAAAAGACCCATCTTCAAGTCACATTAGCCATTACACCACTTAGTTCTTCAATCCACAATCACTTCTGTAAAAACTAGCATGAGTTCAGATACAGTTCAGACATTTAATGCAAAGAAAGGAGATTAACTAGTAGAAGCCAATGTAGCAACAGGATTTCACTATTTCTGACATGCAATGAACTCATGCAAAGGCACATACCTGAAGACTCTGTTGTTTCAATGTCAGTTTGTTTTATATCATTAACATGACATGCAAAGAATGTTACAAAATGAAATGGAAATTAGTCGACAGCTAAGAATGTCACCCAATTTCATTTATTTACTGTTTAACACAACTTCCCWCCCTACAGCAGAACAAACTGGTATAATGTGACTGTAGACTGAGTGTGTCAGCTCACCGGAGAGATGTAACCGGTCCGGACATCCTGCTCCCGCTCCAGAGCCATCCTCAGCTGGAGCTCCAGTTCCTGCTTGTGTGTGTTTGAGTTAAGCAGCTGCTGGTGGCAGCTCGCTAGCTGAGCCCTCAGGTCCTCGATCTGTGTGAGCAGCGAAACGTTGATTAGCTAATCATCGCACTTTCATTTTGTTCTGTGAAAACTCACCAACAACCTAACAGAACCAGGTGGCACACAGAGTAAATTTGTTTTAAATAGTAAATAAAGTTCACACAAAAACGCTTCTGTTTGTTTTTATCAGCAGATGCAGATTTGCTAGCTTCTCCCTGTTATTGCCAACTTAAACTACGCAATGCACATTTTATTTTCCCCTTCCAAGAACAAAAGGCACTGAAATGTAGCAACATTTTGGAAAAATCATTTTGCTGGAGAGTTGACAGAACAGTAACAGAACCCAGCAACAGCCAGGTGCAGAAATATAAAACAGAGGGCAAAGAGAACCATTCCCTCTGCTCAGTAAACCATTTTCACGAGTGCTAATAGATTTTATTACGTTAAAACAGGCATCAGATGATGACTCAGGTTCAGTGAACGTGGAAAGTTGGACAGGTTTTTACTGCCAGGACCTAAAACCGTTAAACATATTGTTTAGGCATAAACACCACCTCTCTATCTGCAAAGTTGACAACAGGCTACAACTAAAATTTACTTCAAATCAAAAAAGAAATGACCTAAATTACTCAAATGATATTTGATTGTTGAGACTGTAAGGCAGTCCCTCKTCTGAAGTGCTAAAAATCAATGCATTTTAGTTAAAATGTTTTATTCAGGGGCTTCATAAAGACAGCTAGATAAGTGCACGAATAAAGATTTTTCCATTTTTAGTTCTATGAAGACAGGCTTCATAAAACAACTGAGATCTTACTTTTCCTTTTTGACGTCTTAGCAGCAGTTCTGACTCTCAGCTAAAGGCCCTRTCACACTAGACAACTTACGCCAAATTATGAAACGTTTTTTGTCTAAATTGCTAATAAAAGCTATATATTTGATCAATTTGTCGAATTACATAATGTACACACTGAAAAGAAACTTCCTGTTGATTTTTTCAATTTCATCTTAAATGTAGACGTCTTTAAAATGTTCATAAACTGGCATAAGTTGCCTAATGTGACAGGACCTTAAAGAGCGCAAGTGATCCGGTTATCAAATGAAATTAACGACTTATAAAACAATTTTTAACTAACTATTATTTGATATCAAAAGGAAAAAAATTGTATAGGTCCTCTGGACGGGTTCTTCTCTAATGAAACGTTTCGTCTCTCYTCCAAGAGACTTCTTCAGTCTGAGAGTTTCAGGCAAAATTCAGGCTTTTAAGTCCTGCCTCCATGTGACTGATACTCACATCACATGGCCATCGTTCACAGGTGACTCATACTCATGTGTGACTCACATCACGATGGCCATCGTTCATGAACGATGGCCATCGTGATGTGAGTATCAGTTACCTGTGAACCATAGCCATGTGATGTGAGTATCAGTCACCTGGAGGCAGGACTTAAAAGCCTGAATTTTGCCTGAAACTCTCAGACTGAAGAAGTCTCTTGGAGGAGAGACGAAACGTTTCATTAAAGAAGAACCCGTCCAGAGGACCTATACAATTTTTTTCCTTTTGATTTTTTACCTGGATTACTGAGATGCATCAGGACATATTATTTGATATGTTTTGTGTTTGTATTGATAGAATAGTTTTGCTGTAAAGGCAGCTAGAAGTTAGAGTGGTTTAATCATTCTGCTTTCTGTTTTTTTCCCTGAGAATTGCCAGAATCTAATAACATTAATAAGGTAACACGTTTGGTTAYTACTATAGTCTATAGACTACAATCACTATAGCTCAGTGACGTGCCTTAGCTTTACCTGATGCATCTACCTAACTAGAAAGAAAAAAAAAAAGAAAAGTAGCTTGCTGTCACACGAGGGTGCTCCATACAAAAAAAAATTTAGCAGGGAAATGTTTTTCATTGAAGGTTGCAGCCAGTCAGTGAAGCAATCAATGAGCAACAGCAGCAAATGTCAAACCGGGCCGAGCAGCACAGATAGAACCATRRGTCTCGGGGTTCCAGAAATCGGGTGGAACTGGGCCATGAGGGCTAAYGCAAACATGCTCAACCTGGGTTTGAAGCAAGGCTGAGCTCTGCAGTGCAAAAAGGCCTGTAGAGACAACCATTCACACTTTCACTAACATCATGGGACAACATGCATGTTTTTGGTCTGTGGGAGGAAACCCTGGAGAAAACCCATGTGTGCATGGRGAGAACATGCAAACTCCACCCAGAAAGGCCTGAGGCCGAGGGGCGTTCTTGTGACCTTTTCACTGAGAGGCAGCAGCTCTGACCACTGTGCTGCTCTTTTAGGTTAACAATTAAAAATTAACTATATAAAAAACAATAAAAAACCAACATCTATTAACAGACATACCCCCTGCTTGTAGCTCTCCAGAAGCTGCTCCAGCTCAACACTCTCCTTAGTCTGGTCTGTACTGGGCAGAGGTACCCTCCTCTCCTCCCTGATGGGGGTCTTCTCCACCTGTCGCCAGTGTTCTTCAATCACTTCCTCCATCCTCTGCTGCCTTTCCAAGGCGGCGGGGCTAACTGAGTCCGTTTGTACAGTTCCCTCTTCCCTCTCAAAGTCTGTCCTCCCTCCATCTGTAACAGACGTGTGCTCTGAACTGGTCACACTCTCGTACCTCTTCCTCCTCTCCTCTCTTCTTCGACTGCAGTCAAGCTCATCCCTGCCCGTCTGCAGGCTTTCTGCCTCCTGCGCTCGCTGCTGAGCCAGAGCCTGGGCGATCGGCCTGAACTCTGCCCAGTCGAAGGTCTTGGAGCGACCCTCTCGTCTTCGCTCCCGCGCCCTGCTTCTCATCGCACCTKGAGCCGACTCCCTCTCCACAGACGAGGTCTCAGAGGAGGGGGAGTCTTGAGTGATGTCTGGTCTAACCAAACTATCCAAAGGAGAGAAGGAACCATAATCTTCAGTTGAGCTGAAAGGAAGTAAAGCACAAAATAATGGACAAATATTATTCAAACACCTACAAACAGCTTGACGACAAGATACAATCTTCATTTCTGTCCATTCTCTGATACAATGCCGCAAACTGTTCCATGTGTGCTGTAGCTTTATGACAACTTTAAAGAGACAGAAAAATAAAATTTAAAACAGTAACACTATAATCTCCACCTATAGTATACTGTATTTACATTGGTTTTCAGCTCATCGATGTCACGCTACAAAAGAATTGCTGGATTGCAGTCACTTGACCCGAACGATGCGTTRATAATGTCTGATGGGGGGCAGGAAGTGATCTGCTCTGGTTCAAAACACAGCGAAATGGATCACAGTGAGTMCGCTAATGCCCTAAATAGGCTGGTGCAGACGAGATATCGCAAAAAAATGTGTGTACATTTAGGATATGATTCATATTATCTTAATAAAAAAAGACTTGTTATATAATCTGGAGGATTTACCYGGTGTTGGTGCTGCAGACCTCATGTTAGAGGCTAYGACGAGCCAAATGAAAGCTTTCAAAAGCCTCAAAGCTACAATTATTTTCKTTCAGGTTGGGTCAAACATTTAGGATCCAAAGAAACTTTAAATGGCTGTTCACTTGTTTCTGCCTGGGTGAGTTGTGCTAATTTAAGTAGTTAGCCTATAACAATGCTATCGCTAACAAGTTAATTGACTCCAGTTATTTCTGTGCTTGGATCTACTTGCAAATAATTTATTTAGCTTCTGTAAAMCCAAATTCAAGTAACTGTCCAGGAAAATATCTGACAATATGATTTAAAACGATACGATCCTGACCTGTTAGAAAGAGATCGCTGCAAACTGTTGCATTGTTCGTTTCCAAACCTCCTGTTTTTAGCCGTAGACTGTTGATCCACTTTTGTCCTAATTTTTCAGCAAGTTTTTAAATTTAACTCCCTTGTGACACACTACTTTCAGAACATGAAAAAAACTTTGATATTTCTCCTGATTAGAGCGGCTGCAACAACTGTACATGGCACAGAACTTAGGCATTTTAACGCTGAATCAACAGAAGGAAATAGAGCTGCGCGGTATATGTGGTAGACAGTAGAAACGATATGAAGTTGGCCTACGGTAGAAACTTACCCTCTACCATCATATCGTCATTACGTCATCGTATCTGTGTCAACACGGCTGCGAGTGCCGAGACAACTGAGCAGGAGTTAGAAATATGAAGAAATTCTAGCGTTTTAAAACACGCATAGAGAGGATAAATCCTCAAAATATCCGCCTCCCGCTGTAGAAAAGTTACGTCGAGTCACGGGATCATAACCTCATCCTCTCCTCTCGCTGCACGTCGCGCAGAGAGAAGTTTTAACAGCTGTAGTTTTTTCACACCCAAATGTCTGAGAAAAAAATGTTTTTTATGTATTGTTACTCACAGAGATGATTAAAAAAAAAAAGACGTGGACGTTCGTTCAGTCGTAAATCCATCTTGCTAATGTAAAGTCGGCTTCTGCTCCGATGATGAAGATGAGCGCGCAGCAGAGCAGCAGCTGATAGCAGGCAGAAGCTCATTGTTTGGCAGGCAGACATTAAAGCAAAAATGCTGGGTTTGATTAAGATTACAGTTCTCTGCAAAAGAAATGCTCTAAAAATTTAATTATCTTTACTTTTTATGATAATTTCCTACCGCAACATATACAGTTATCGTGAAGGGGTACAGTTTATACCGTGATATGAATTTGAGGTCATACCGCCCAGCACTAGAAGGAAACATGGCTTCATTTACTTCCTGCCCCCCATCTGCATTTCATGACATCGACACTACATCATCTGCAACCCAGCAGTAGAGTTTCCTACATGTTCAAATCAAATCAGTTCTCATCAGCAGTTGATTTTGATCCCTACTTGGCTAATTTTATGTTATTTTGTATGTTTCACAGTGTAAGAAAACATGTTCAGAATTGGAAATCTGAGTAAGTTTGCAGAAAACCAATTTGATTCTCTTCTAAAATACTTTATTAAAAAATCTGAACTCCATTCCAGCTCACAGCCAACGCCTGTCTTTGTGAGGCATCGGATCTTATCGGCAACAAAAACAAACCTCTCAGCAGCAGCATCTATTGCCAGCTGCACTAAAAAGAATGAATCTCTCTTCTCTTTTTAAGTTTTACATGTATATAAACACAAACTTCCCAGTCACACCCCTAGGGGCGGTACCTTTTACGTCAAGACACTGAAATCTTAAACAAGCTTTTTTTATGCAGAAAGAAAGGCCTCATAATGATTCTTTGTTTAAAGGATATGGCTGCAAATGATCACAAAGTTTTAAATACAAAACTGTATCTTAAGATAGTCACAAAATTTCCCTCACCATCATGTGCAAACAGCTCTCTTCAGAAAATATATATTAAACAGCAAAGAATCAAAAGCATGTTGATGTATCAAAGCACATAAAAATGACATTAACTTTAGTTTTACATTATTTTGTTATAGTAGAAATCTAAAGTCTTGATGTATCCAATTTTCAAGGTTCTGTTTGAATTATGTCACCAGAATTTGTCTTTTAACCACACCAGAGGTTTTAGATCTAAAGAGGCTGTGCAGCACAAGGTGTGTGTCCACAGTTTAAACTGCGACACAGACACAATCAGACCTGAGGGAGGATTCTATAAAATAGGAAATTCAAGTGGCAAAACAAACATATCATATCAGAGACAAACTGAACATGCAAAACGCTCACAAAACACTTAGAAATGTGGACTTATGACTCGTGCTGACCTGGCCACGTCAGGGGCGGTGGACGGCCGAACGTTCTTCATCACTGCTTGGATCCAGTTTCTGCGTATGCCGGCTGTCATGGCTGACAGAGTGTAAACACCTTCCTGCGTCTGCATGCAGCAGCACAAAATGAGGAAAAAAGAAATTAATAAAAACATTTATGCAAAGGATTAAAATCAATGTATTTTGCTTAATTTAGCATTGAGTGAAAGGAAAACTGTACTAATGCCAGAATTGATATTAATGTCTGTTATGGTTGTATGAGGCTTAGTTCTCACAAGTAGATATTACAAGACAGACAAGATTCAGGATACTCAGGAATAAGACTAAACACTTTCTTATGAGCAGAACAAATAAAAACAAACAGCCTCTTACATGAATTTGAAAACCGTAGTTGCGCTGAGCCTGGTACTCTGTTACACTGTAACAGGTGGACAGGTCAATCTCACCGTCCAGGTCAGAGGCCTGGGGGGAGAAAATAGAAATAGATCAACAACATGAGGGACTGAAAAACTAAACGGGAAACACGTGACAGCGTGAAATAAAGGGTCTCACCTCCTCAGCGATTGAATCCTTGTAGTATCTCAGGCTGTGATCCGTCAACACGAACCAGTACTTCTTCCACTGCAAAAACCACAGGGCAAAAATTTGGCCACACAAAGTCCCGAGCCAGTCGTAAAAATAAAAAAATAAAAAACAAGCTGGAAAAACTACAGTAGCAGCTAGAACACCCTGTCTGTCAATAAAAGCTGCTCTAYGTGAACGAAACACCAGTTTGCCTGTCAGTTACATTCATACTGAAACAGTCGGTCCCCGCCCTTGTCTCGTCTTTTCAGTCCATCAATGATGAAAGTTGAAAGTGATCCGCAGCTTTGTAAAAGCTATAGAACGCTACAGATTTGAGAGCTTTAGGTGAACAATTCAGGAGTTCTTTGAACTGGCCTCGACCATATTTACCTAATGACCTTAGAAACTCATCCCACTTCTCTCATGATTTTCACAGGTTTTAGGTTTCTCATTTTAGAATCAGTTGATAACTTGTAATACCTGGCCTTGTTCGTCCAGCTTCACCATCCATCCTTTCTTAAAGTTCAGCAAGTCCGGCTGAAAATAAAGAAACAGGATAMAAAACAATTATTGAATAAAGTGGTTTTAGTTTGCATATTCAAACCACTTTTATCAAGAAAAAAAAAACAGTTGTAGTTGCACATTACAACTATGTCAGGGGCAGATACAAAAWTTTTTGTCAGGTTGTCCAGCCTCAGCTGCAAAAATGACGGTCAAGTGAAGTCTTGCAGTTTTGTTGTGCACGTGAACACACGCGGTTAGGGTGGAAATACTGCAAGTTGCTTTCAAAAATAAAATGCATATAAAATATGTAATCCTTGGTGGAAAACAGTTGTCCGAAASGAAAATATGTTGTCTCGGACAACCTAAATAACACTTATGTCGACCYCTGAATGTTCTAATGTTCCCTGATTTGAGAATAAAAACAACTGATGCATTACTTCATTGTAGGAATGGTTAATAAACGTCACAAAAATACACTTRTTCAGTCAACTAAAAGGTACAGGCTGAGCCGTGCCACTGGATCAGTTTTTTTGGCAACTCCAGCAAATGCCATGTATGACGTTTCAGACTGTGGAATATTWAGTCTCTTTAATTTAAAACAAAACAATAAAAAGACTGATTTTCAACTTAAATTAGCACTGGAATACATGAGGTCATTGGCTCACCTTGGTGCTTGTTTTAATATTTACAATSACATTTGCAAATGTTCAAAAACACTTTTAAACACACTGACATTAGTTTGCAGGAGCGACAAGAGTAAGAGTTGTCTAATGCACCATCTAAAGCCGAGTAATCGGCTCTCATTGGCTACGTTCACACTGCAGGTCTTAATGCTCAGTTCAGATTTTTTGAAAAAATCCGATCTTTTTTGTGTGAACGTTCACATTACATTTTAAATGTGACCTGCATCAGACTCCTGTGTGAACGCTACACAGCCCTGATGTGACACACATGCTAAGTAAAAGACGTGACGTCTCATCAGCCGGCTTGTTTATTTACAGAGCTAGCATGGATGCTACATTTTGCGCATCGAATCAGAAGTTGTTGTTTAATCAGAGCCGATTAAATTATTATCTGACCTGCTTCTTTAGTTCAGTGTTTATATCTGAACCTGCCTCTGACCGGGATGCTCCAGTGAAGCTTTTTTTTATTTTCAACGAAACTACGAGCTGGAAAAAAGTATCGACCGAGTATCTAACTGTAGGATCGATACTCTCCGCGACCCAGGCTGGACATGTTATTATCAAACTATCTACGTGGAAAATGAAAAGTAAAAAGACGAAGCAACTGGACTTGTGTTTTGGAGCTGTAAACACAYGGAGCTACAGATTTAAACAGCGAGACTTGAGGTTAGTGTGTTATCGATCCTTCACCCCCTCCTCCTGATGAAAAAGTCAGATGAATGTGACATGAGCGTTCACACTGCAGTCACTTTGAAAACATCAGATGTATATCCGATTTAAAAACACATACTGAAACGGCCTGGGTCGGATTTGAAAAAATCGATTTGTCTCGTTCAAATCGGATATGAGTCAGATGGGTCAAAAAAAATCGGATTTGGGTCGGATTTGCCTGCAGTGGGAACGTAGCCATTGTCGTAGCTGCATCATTTTGTTCTCAGAGCAGCTTCATCTGCCTCTTCTTGACAAAAGGCCTGGGTTGAACTGTTTCCCATTGGAGCTTYGACAGAGTATTCTATGACTGGTAAGAAGTTCATGAGCATGTCTATGTAGAAGTGTTATGGGACTGCAATGTCATTTTGCTTCTAACTACTCTGGTTGTTGCAAACCAAGGACAGCTTTGAGAAACAGTTGGCCGAAACAGTCAGAAAATACATCCATCTGTATGATTCGTTCAGACAAACTTATAAAGATAATCAAACGGCCAAAAATTCCTATATGGAGGTGGCACAGACATTGTGCACGGAGGTGTCTGTCTGGTGCTCYATCTGTGACAGATTTGTGGTCAAATGGAGGATGTAAGGATGGAACATACAGAAGAAACATTTCCTAGAAGAAATGCTTAGTGTGACATAGCAGCGTCTGTCTCTGTAGTGAAAAAGCAAACAAATTCAAGAACCRTTTGTAGCAACAAGCACTGGTAAAAACTGGAACCACTTGGGGGGGGGGGCGACGACACCTTATTGTGTTCATTACTGCTGTACAATGAGAACAACACACAAACATCCATGTAAACAGTGACCACAGTAAGTGATAAAGGCTGTAATATTCTGTCATCCACACATATTKTATACTTTTATAAAAACACAAAGCAAAGAATGAGTGCAGTAATCAGATGCTGTAGGTAAATTAGTGTTGGGCATAATCGTATCGTGTGCAATTAACCGTCAGAAAAACATTAATCGATTATTTTTTGGCACTTGACGATTAATATGATTAATGCCACCAGGCAGAGTCCGCTCGCTGCTTCTCTCTGCTTCAGATATGACAAACTTTTTTTAATCATTTTTTTCCATCATTAATCAGAGGTGGAGGCCTCCGTTTTCAGTTGTCCCCCTCCTACAGTGCTGCTATTGCCAGTATCACTCCACCCCGTTAACAATAGGTGTTAATTAGGTGTCAACGATAGCCATGTGATGTGAGTATCAGTCACATGGAGGCAGTGCTCAAAAGCCTGAATTTTGCCTGAAACTCTCAGACTGAAGAAGTCTCTTGGAGGAGAGACGAAACGTTTCATTAAAGAAGAACCCGTCCAGAAGACCTATACAATTTTTTTCTTTTTGATTTTTTTACCTGGATTACTGAGATGCATCAGGACATTTTTTTAAAAAGTTCAGTAATTAATTTATCTATCAACACAATTTAAAATTTGATGTATTGCCTCAAATCTGTGATTTTGACAAAATCTGGAAAAGATTTTTATAAAGAGGAACTCTTCTAAACTGGTCATGTGACAAGGACATAAGGGGGTCCAGGGACTCCAGGGGATTAATCGTCAAATTAATCGATATCGGCTAAATACAACAATTAATCGTGATTAATTTTTTTGCCAATATTGCCCAACCCTAAGGTAAATGCTATAAAAATAAAGGGCAAAATGAGGAGTTTAACCTGGAGAGGGAGCTGAAAGAGCTGCACTGCCTCCTGCAGTGTGGAGGTTTACCATCATATTCTCACAGCAAAGCCAAAGAAATATTAGAAATAACAGAAATAAGCCATCAATCATTAAGGCCTGGTTTGCAGAACTCCAACGAAACATGGGTGAGACTAAACACAGCTCACAGTACTGCTACAGCTGCAGTCAGTTTCTGAGTTAAARCAACCAGAGGCTTGCAGATTGTTGATACCCGCAGACTTTGTCTCAACCTTTAATTCTCTTAACTGTTGCCTAACTAAATCTGGCCTCTCAGCACAAACAACAGCCCAGCAACTTCTTTCCTTTCTGCTGAGGCCTTGGCACTGCTGCTGACCCTGGATCCTGCAGCTAACAGAACAGCAGAGGCTTTGTCTCAGACCACAGACAAACACAAACACACTGACCTTCCAATATCCCAGCATATGGGTCCTAATCAGAACAAATCCAAACCCGTTCATTTATTAGTCACTTGTGTTTAGCCTCAACTCCTCGACCATTAAAAGCATTTTCCACGTGTCAATGTAGTACAGCTTCAGGCACAAAATGTAAATCTTTTCAAAAATTTCTGAGTTCATAACAATTTAGGTGCCAATAAAAAACCTCACCAATATAAGTTGTTTACATTAAAGAAACACGAGTTGTTGTTTTTTTAACAGCGCAGCAGAGCGTGGCTTTTAGACATCATGAATTCCTAACGCAGAAGCAAGAAGGTGCATTTTTTAGCCAAACACCTGTGATAAATGACTTCTCTTAACCTGCAGTGTCAAACACTAAAACAGGCAGCTGAAAACAGATGAAGACMGATGAACAAAGTCAAAGAAACTCTGTCAGTCTGTTTTTGAGCAATTGTAAAAACTGCCGTTTCATATCAGAGACCACATAATAATAATCCAAGCAGCAAGTTCCTGATGTGCCCTGCAGTCTCCTGGTTGGACATGCCTGCAGGAGGATCCTTATCTATACAAGAATACTAAATTYAATAAAAACAAAAGCAGAGCAGAGCACTCACTGTCATGACAGACTCTGTGGTCCTTCGGTCCAAAGACTTGGCTCTTCTCAGAGGAGGCAGGGTGGAGGGGAAGTCCAGACCTTCATCGTTGTCTTGTCTCTGCTCCTAAAAATGAACACACCTAGTTTTACACCTGCGCAAATTCACTTTGTGCCAAAATCTCAGACATGAACTAGGTTTGAGTCATAATTAATTAATTAATTAATTAATTAACTGTAAAGAAATGGTACATTTATTGCAGTTATAAAAAAAAACATGAACTTTCATTTGTCTTGTTGAAGTTGAAGCAAAAACAAGAGTGACGTAGTAGTTRCATCAGGTAATTACATCAGGTGCTCCTGGTAATTGAGACAACTTGAAAGAACTCCAAACTAAAAGTTCACTGATCCACATAAACAATATTATTTAATCCTTTATACAGCGGAAATATTCTGCAATTCCTTCCTGGTGAGATTAGGGGTGTAAGAAATTATCGATACACTGAAATATCGCGATATTTCATTTTCCGATACTGTATCGATATTCTAAAGTCCTGTATCGATATTTAATTAAGGTTTAAAATGTCAACTTTCCTGCCAGCCATTCATTTTTATGTTGTAGTTCAGCCTCTGACCACTAGTTGGCAGCAGTGAGCCAGHCATTTGGCTCCTCTACCTCTTGAGCACCAGAGAGTAAGGGCAGCGTTAGCATTGTGAGTAAACATTAGCTTCATGCTCCGATAGCTGAATCTGAGCAGAAAAGACCGACACCCTCTGCCTTCTAAGCTGAGGTAAGGTTACGAACTTATTTGTCAGAATGTCTGTATTTTAAACCAAATTAAGTGTCTCGTGCGCTCTTTTTTCCAACTTTAGTCAGTCACGTTACAGAAGGCTAGCGCATGTCTATGTAATAGAATTTTCTGAGACAATGAATTTTGGTTTTTCATTTTTTTCCAGTAAGAGGTTTTTATTTAATAGAATTTTTGGACCAAAAAAAAAATCGCAATATATCGCAATATATCACCTTGCTTACAGTATCGCAATATATCGGGATATATCGTATCGTGACCCGTCTGTCATGATATGTATCGTATCACCAAATTCTTGCCAATACACAGCCCTAGGTGTGATCCCAGGCAGCATMAGAATTGTTAAWGCTCACTACTGTTGCCACTATTTGCTCTTGCAAACAACCCAAGAACCTCCCTGTAAATTAATGTAAATAAGTAACTGTAGTGTGAAGGTGTATGAAACATTGTTTGCATAATCTGCTCTGTTTTAAGACGGCAGCGATGCATTTTAGGTCCTTCTCCATTGTCAAGTCTCACTCACTCTATTTGGTTTTGGTCTGTTCAGTTCTGCTCAGTTGTGTGTGTCTCCATCTCGGTGTGTTTCTCATTCTATGGGTGTGATTGTATGCTGATCATCATCAGCGGCTTCAGCTGCTGTGGTAAAAGGTAAATAAAAAAATATCTATTTAAAATGTCATTGTGGCTTTATCGTCCAGTAGTTGGATATTATTTTAAAATTTTTTGCCTCCCTGAATATCTGCCCATTGTAGGACGGCTTCGTCCTGCGCTTGTCTCCCTCACCTCTCTCCAGGAAGCGTTTGCAAGTACCACCATTCCCAAGATCGCCAATAAGGTTTGCAGCTCCATGTTAGACCATGGTTTTATCACTGCTTTCACCATGTTGTTGTATCTCACACTTAGATTCCAGAGCAAAAGTGCCTCTCTCTCCAGAAGGACGTTTGCACAAATGACAACTTGGCTCTGTCAATCAATCCAAGAGCCAATCCATGAGAAACAGTCCACTAACATCAAAATCATATATAGGTATGGGTACCTTTGACATTTGAATTGATCCGGTACCAATATCTGGCACCGGTACTCAACGGTACCAATTTTCAGTACTTTCTGTGTGTTGTTTTTGAAGTAATAAACTTACTTATTTATTTAACATATTTACTTCTCAAAATACAAAATTTAACAAATATCAAGACAACATCCAACTCTTTGTATTGTAACATCAGTTTTTTAACTAATTTCTTTAAGGTGAAAACTCTTGAGAACAACAAGACACACAAATATAAATTGCACAAATTAAAATCCAGCTCCACGCATTTCTATTGATGTCATTTCCCCGCTTGAAAAATTGTGTGATGGAGGTCCATGGAAGGCAAATAAGTTTAAATCAAATAAGCAAAAGAGGATTTAGTTAAAATAAATAAAAGGTATTCAAGCTACGTTTTGAGCATCCAAAACACGCCCAACACTTCAAGTTGGCTGCTTGAGCAATACCCGGTGTCACCTGCTTAAAGTCACCACAGAGGTGGTTCTGAGTCTGCGGTTGTGCACGGGTGGAACCAGAAACGGAGACACAATTGGCCAAGGCTGAACCGAGGAGAACCGAATTCGGGTGCACCAGTGGAGAGGGGGCTTAAGTTTTTGGCTGTGTTGGAATTAGCTGGTAGTTTGTCGGTCCTGTCAGACTAAAAACTCTGCTCCTACAAACTGAGGCGTTTCAAAGAGCCAACACTTTACTCTGCTGAGTTTCTGCCACTCAGTTTGAGCCAATATATTGAGTGCAGAGGTCTAGGGTGGGAAAGGAAAGTTTTAATCACCATGGAATCCCAGTAAATAATGGAAACTAAAAAACATACAGCACTTACAGATGACCTCTGACCTACAAACAAAACAAAAGGAGAACAGGAAAGAGAGGACGGACAGAAGAGGGCAAAGAGAAAGGAAAAAAGATGAAAATTTAAGGAGATAGGTGGGTCTGGAATTTGTCTATTTTTTTCCCCCATTTTCAGCCAAACTTTAAATACCAATTTTAAAATTTACACTTTAATGTTGGTTTCAGTAATACACACACAGCAGTATTACCTCTCTATATCGTCGCCTCTGTTCACTGCGACCCTGTCGGACTCCACTACTCCGTGTCACCTCCACTTCCATTTTCTCTGGATTCTCCAGCTCCAAGGCCTCCAACTTCTCAATAACACCGGAGCGACTGGAAACAAAAATATAAATTCATTACTTGTTAAATACAAGCAAATKGCAAATGTATTTTAGGAAACATCTAAACAATGGTAGGCAGTTTCAGAGTGGTGGGAATAATAATCCACAGTAATCTGACAAACACAAATTACCGTAGATCCACTGCACAGATCTGGAATCAGCTGGTTTTTACTGTTACTATAGACTGAAACGACTGTGTCAGTAAATTTCCAAATAGTTTTTGGAAAGTTTTAAATAAAAAGTGAAAAATCTGAAAATAATAAAAATAAAAAAAAAAGAAAAGTGAAGTAAAATCTTACAAAAAATCTCTTTCAAAATGTGACCCTTGAAATGTGTTTTAACACATTTGTTTTCTTTTTCTTAACAGTTTTTATTACAAAGAAATTTTAATATGACAAGATAATTTGAAATAACACTGGCTACACCAGATAAACCAGATTCTCACTTTCAACTCCATCAGAACAAAAACGTAGTTCTGGAGAATGACCAACGCTGCTCAAAGTTCAAGAAAATTTTTGTAAAACCACAACATAACACAGCTTTTTCTTTAAATTTCAGACGAAATGAAATCTCTTAATATATGCTTGTAAATAATAAAAAGCTCCTAAGTTCATTAAATTGTGTAAACAGCTTTTAACCCACACATAAAAATAAGACATTTGTCAATCTCTAATAATGAAATGGACTTCCAGATGACKTTAATAAACAAGTTTTTTTTTTTACCAACAGTTGATTGGTGAGAAAAAAAAATCATCATAAGTATGGAGCTAAATTGGGGTCATATATTTCGTTCAAAATAAAAAAAATTGAAACTGAAAAAAGGAGATTTGAAACTGAAAAACAATTTTGAAACTGAAAAACAATGCATTACAATCTGGAAAAGTTTCAAACATCTTGTCTTTTCAGTTTCAAATTTTTTCTTTCAGTTTCAAAATATTTTTTTCAGTTTCAAACTTTTTATTTTCAGTTTCAGAGTTATGACCCCGATTTAACGTGGGGGGCGGGGCCTCAGATGACAGGCGGTGCAGAATCATGATTGACAGCTCAACACAGGCTGGACAAGGTGTTGCATTCAGGAACCACCAGCTATGAGTGGAATGTTTTYAGTCCAATAAATGTCTCTTATTAGAGGTTATCAGTTCTAAAATGTCTGCAGACTGTCCCTCCTTTACCTCCTAGTAGGTTGGAAGGCACTTATCATCTGTATGCCTGATAATATGCATTCAGGCTTAAGTGGGTTTAGCTTCTCCCCCTGGACGTGGAGCCCAGGCGGTCTGCCCGACTCGCTTTGACCGGGGGAGGCACTCGATCTGCGGCATGGAGATCTAAGCTGTAGCCGTGGCTCGCTCCAGACTTTGCTGCTAACAGACAGAGAGGGGAGTTTTCAGGGTCTGCTCAGACGTGTTTCAAACTTTATTCAGCTGTTCTCTGCTGCGATTAACATTTCCTGAAACTATTGTGTGTTTTTATTTCTGTTTGACGAGGAGAAGGGAATATATTATTTAATCTTAGACAACCAAAATCCAACTATTAAACAAGCCGTGCGATTTGTTTCTGTCAGCTGTAGCTTCCTGAAGGTTCGTCGAACTCCGAGGTGGATTTATTTTATTTATTTTCATATTTTAAAGACAAAGGAGTCCTGCAACGAGGATTAGGCTACTCCACCAATCCCGTCTCCACTTCTGTTGTCCAGGAGGAGTGAGAGTGACATCCAGGAATCACTGGAGCTCCGCACGGCCAGCTATCAWCCTGTCCCCACCTACAGGGCTTGATCTGCGCCCAAGTTTGGCCAAAATGTCCCCTGTTGCTTCTTGGGCTTCTATCTCAAAAATTAACGAATGGAATTCTATGAAACGTTCAGGGAATGTTTATTACACTTCCAGRAAATGTTCAATACACCACAGAGAACAGAAGATTAAAGTTAAAATCATTTCAGAGTGCGTGCACCGCTCTGATCTGATCCAAGAACCACTGGAGAAACTCCGAGCTGCTGCTCTGAAGCGGTTCGGAGCCGCGCATGCGCTCGGACTCAGAAATGTTTTAAAATTATTAATCTTCTGTTCTCTGTGGTGTATTGAACATTTYCTGGAAGTGTAATAAACATTCCCYGAACGTTTCATAGAAWTCCRTTCGKTAATTTTTGAGATAGAAGCCCAAGAASCAACAGGGGACATTTTGGCCAAACTTGGGCGCAGATCAAGCCCTGTAGGTGGGGACAGGTTGATAGCTGGCCGTGCGGAGCTCCAGTGATTCCTGGATGACACTCTCACTCCTCCTGGACAACAGAAGTGGAGACGGGATTRGTGGAGTAGCCTAATCCTCATTGCAGGACTCCTTTGTCTTTAAAATATGAAAATAAATAAAATAAATCCACCTCGGAGTTCGACGAACCTTCAGGAAGCTACAGCTGACAGAAATWTGAACCAAATCGCACGGCTTGTTTAATAGTTGGATTTTGGTTGTCTAAGATTAATTAATATATTCCTCTCTCCTCGTCAAACAGAAATAAAAACACACAATAGTTTCAGGAAATGTTAATCGCAGCAGAGAACAGCTGAATAAAGTTTGAAACACGTCTGAGCAGACCCTGAAAACTCCCCTCTCTGTCTGTTAGCAGCAAAGWCTGGAGCGAGCCACGGCTACAGCTTAGATCTCCATGCCGCAGATCGAGTGCCTCCCCCGGTCAAAGCGAGTCGGGCAGACCGCCTGGGCTTCATGTCCAGGGGGAGAAGCTAAACCCACTTAAGCCTGAATGCATATTATCAGGCATACAGATGATAAGTGCCTTCCAAAATAATAGGAGGTAAAGGAGGGACAGTCTGCAGACATTTTAGAACTGATAAYCTCTAATAAGAGACATTTATTGGACTGAAAACATTCCACTCATAGCTGGTGGTTCCTGATTGCAACACCTTGTCCAGCCTGTGTTGAGCTGTCAATCATGATTCTGCACCGCCTGTCATCCGAGGCCCCGCCCCCACGTTAAATCGGGGTCATAACTCTGAAACTGAAAATAAAAAGTTTGAAACTGAAAAAAATAGTTTGAAACTGAAAAAATATTTGAAACTGAAAAAAATATTTGAAACTGAAAAGATAAGATGTTTGAAACTTTTCCAGATTGTAATGCATGTTTTTCAGTTTCAAAATGTTTTTCAGTTTCAAATATATATATATTTTTTTCAGTTTCAAAATTATTTTTTTCAGTTTCAAAATTGTTTTTCAGTTTCAAATATATATTTTTTTCAGTTTCAAAATTATTTTTTTCAGTTTCAAAAATATTTTTCAGTTTCAAATCTCCTTTTTTCAGTTTCAATTTTTTTTTATTTTGAACAAAACATATGACCCCAATTTAGCTCCACACATAAGCGATTGTGACCAATGAACTACATTATAAAGTTTGGATCACTTGGACCCTCAGCATAGTTGGTTTAAAAAGGAGCATAATGCATTAATGTAATTTATACTTCAATGTAAATCTATAAGAATACCATACTGCACTGAGCCATGCCATCTAATGAAAAAGTGCCATTTGTAAGACACTGGAGTACCAAGCAACACTAAAACCCAGGCAACTCTTTACATTAGCCACCAGAAAAGTTTCATTAACAATTGGGCACTCTTTTGAAAACAGGACAGAGGAAAGCCCTGCTTCTCCCATTCTAATAAAAACAGAATTAAAGGTCGACTGACAGGGGGTTTTCTATGGCTGATGGCATTTAGAAATCAGGGTAGAAAATGGCAATGGCAAGTTTTGGCCAAAATGTATTTTTTCATTTAAGAAAAAACAAGAGTAATTGACCAACTTCAAGTGCCTGTGACATACAGTAGATTTCATGATTCCAGGTCCAAGCCTGGCTTGAGGCTAATTTTTAAAATAATTGTAGGGGGTGCTGTGGAGGAATTAGGTCACCCCCAACCCCGCCCAATATTGGACCGTATTCCTGTAGTGGGGTGGATTACGATCAACCATAGCAAATAGCATGTAGATTGAGTGAAATACGTGAAATTAAGAGCCAAACGTATGTCAATGGCATGATGTGTAATTAGGCCATGCCCACATGAAATTGGACTGCRTTCCTGTTGTGGGGTGGATTAGGATCGACCTTAGCAAATTGCATGCCGATTGGCTGAAATATTTGGAATTTAAAGCATTTAAAGCCAAACGTACTGCATATCAACAGCGTGATGTCTAATTAGGCCACCATTTTTGTCCTCCACCTTGGCGTCAGGGGACAAAAATATCCCAGTTATGTGACAAAATGGGTAAAAATCACGTTATACCAAATTTTAAAAATATTACGTTTTCTTTCAGTGTTGGTATTTGTAGGAAATACATGTGAAAGTCACTTTAAAATAAACATATTTAATAACCCCTAGAAAAATGCACTGAAATATAATACATAGAACAATATTCTTGCATATTAAAAACTAAATTGTGGGTTACAATAAACTGGTTTTAGCAGCTGCTGTTGCATCATTATTTTTATACATGGTTATGGGATGAAGTATATTCTACCATGGCTGATACAAGTGAATAAAACCGGTCGACTTCTCTCTTTATAGGACTTCATAGTTGTACAGTTTTAGAGGTAAAGTTGACTTTCTTCAAGAGAACTTCACTGCTTAAGTTGATAGGGTAAATTATACAGGTTATTCTGTGCATTTAACCAGAGCTATTAAGAACTCAACAGGAGACGAAACAAAAGAAGGGAATCTTTTTTCGTTTTAACATTTATTCAGTAACTTATACTTGGTCTTCTAAAATAGATGACTTTTGTGCAAATGTAAAATTTAATACAACAATTTATATTGATAGCTAGCACTGGCCTTATATTTTTTTTATTTTAAATTCATCTGAGAGATGATGTGTTATATAATGTTGTCCCTTCTCACTATAAGATGAGCTTAATTTAACACTGTGACATTACTGAAGAAAAAAAATATTAACCTCAAGTGAACAATAAGTTCTGGATAACAGAGCCAAGAACAGCC